TTTTTTTTTTTTTTTCTTCTTCTTCTTATATTTATTTTTTTTATTATTTATTTTATAAAACAAAAAAAAAATTTATAAATAATAATTGAATGTATTGGTAGTTATTGCTTCTTCTTTTTTCTTTTTTATTATATATACCATTCTTCGTCCTATTTTCTGATAATTAAAAAATGGCGGTGGATCCTAAAGATATTGCTGCTTTAACACCAAAGTTTCTCAGTACTGTATATAAACATTTTAAAAATGATATTCCTGATTCAAATTGGGATTTAAAATTACATTTAGGTGTTACAATGCTTCGTTCATTTCTTCAAAGGGGTAAACATAAAACGATCGAAAAACATCAAAAATTTCTTGGAAAAGCTCATATACCTTCTTCTCCTTCTGTATCTGTTAAAAAAACTATTGTACCTGAAACTTGTCGTTCTCAAGCTGAAGATATTATGGCTGGTTTATTAAGTGGTCAAGAAGAAAAAGTTGGTTGGAGATGGAAAGAAGATCCTATGAAACAATCCCCTCTTAAAGGTGAATGGGTTGAGGCAAAGAATAGAAAGAAATTAACTTCCGCTGATAGAGTAATTTTATATATACATGGTGGTGCTTATTTTATGGGTAGTGCCGCTCAACATAGATTTTTAATACAAAAAGTTGCTAAAGCTAGTGCCGCTAGAGCTTTTAGTATTGATTATAGATTAGCCCCTCAATCCCCTTTTCCTGCTGCTGTTGTTGATTCTTTGGCTGCTTATCTTTATTTAATACAACCTCCTGCTGATGCTGGTTTCGATCCTATAAATCCAAAACAAATTGTTATCATGGGTGATTCTGCTGGTGGTGGTTTGGCTTTATCTTTAATGCTCGTTTTAAGGGATGCAGGTCTACCTCAACCTGCTGGTGCTGCTTGTTGGTCTCCTTGGGTTGATCTTTATCATTCTTTACCTTCTATATTTTCAAATGGTCCAACTGATTATATACCAAATGGTTTTGTACATAAAGCTTCTCCTGCTAATCCAATAAAGGATTATAAAAATATTCAACAAAGATTAGAAAGAGTTCAATATTATGCATATAATTCTGCTTTATCCATTCCTTATGTTTCCCCAATTCTTTCTGATGATTTGGGAGGGTTGGGTGAAATTTTTATTGTAAGTACTTTATATTTTAATCGTGATGTTTTCTTATAATTTCCAGTTAATAATAATAATAATAATAATAATATAATATATATTTTTTTTATATAGACATGTGGAAGTGGAGAACGATTAAGAGACGAATCAATTTTGTTGGCTCATAAAGCGGCAAAAACTCATCCCGAAATTTTTGAATGTAATAAACCAGGAGTAAGATCTTATCCTCCGACCAAAGTTAATCTCAACGTCTATGAGTAAGTAATCATCATCTCATAAGTAATTCTTTATCATCATATGTTAATTTATTTTTAACATTATTATTTACTTTTTTATAATTTAGAGCTATGCCACATGTATTTCAATTATTCTTGTTTCATCCAGCGGCTACTGATGCAATTAAGCGTACGGGTGCTTTTGTACGAAAAATTATACCTGAACCATCAAATGATGCATCAAGTTGCTCTTCAAATTCATCATTTTCATCGCCACATTCATCTTTTTCATCAACTCATAAGCAACGAGAAAAAGATGTTCCCACAAACTTAACCGGCTTAAAACAAAAGAAATCATCATCATCAATATCATTACAAGATTATTTTGATGAGGAACTTGACGAAAATGATGATAATGGAGAAGTAAATTATTTTACTAATAAACATATTGATGTTAAAGGAAATTGTAAACGAACAAATGACATGTTGGATGAAGGTACTTTACGTGAGTGGGTAAATATGTTGGGGAAATTGCCTGATTTAGAAGCTCATCCAGAATTTATGGATATTTAGATAATAATAATAATAATAGATTTATTTCCCCTATTTTATATATACAGTATATAATTTTACAAAACAAACTTTAAATTTTTTTGTACAGTTTTTTTTTTTTTAAATTTTTAATTTACTTTTAATTTAATTTTAGTAATTTTTTTTTCCAAGTAGAATATTTTACATTAATAATATTAATGTGTGGATGTTCAAATTATTACAGTATTTCTGTTCGTAATATAGTAGGTAGTATCAGCGTAGAAAAAAAAAAAATTAATTAATATAATAAATAAAATGCCTCAATTTGGGGTTTAATCCGTGAGACGTTAGAGTATGTTGTTATATCTAGTACAAAAGTGTGTGGTTGTGTAATTGTCAATAAATTGATCCGACATTAATGACATTTAATATGTACAAATATGTCTAATTAATTTACGATAGGATATTATAAAATTTAAACTTTTTTTTTATACCTAAATTATGTCAGATTTCAAAAATAAACAATTTAAATTTAAACTAATTTGTACAACCTTTATTTCATGTCGAGTTTCAAAAAATGTATCGTTTTTGCGTTACTTGTACCATCAGGTGCTATTTTCAAACATATTTGATGGATGTAATCAAACTGTTGTGATAAACTAACTGTTATGACTAATACTTACTAATATCGACATTTTACATCAATTCATTATACAGTACAGATAAATATAAAAAGGTTTTTTTTTTTTTGATGCATTTAATCACTATAAATCTAGAATAGAATTTCCATCAAAAATTTTGTAATCTCTTTTTTTTTTTTCGTTCTTTTAGTTGCATTTTATGTTACAATATTATTTATAACATACATTTGAGTATAAAAAATGCAAAAAAGTGAAAAAAAAAAATTTATTTTAAGTAATGCAACTTGATTGGTAGATTTTGATAACATATGATATTATGACAAGTATACTATATGCCAAATTGCCAACCCAAAAAAAAAAAAAAAAAAGAATTGTGAATTTAAATAAAATAATAGTTAATAATATTATTATTTATTTTATTTTTTACATTTCAAAATTTTTGTAAAAAATATTTAAAATATTTATTAATTTCACAGATAATATTTTTCTCTTTTTTTTTTTCAAAAAAGAAGCCATATTTCATTATATATATATTTATTTTATTTTTTTATTTATTTATTTTTATTTATTTCATTTAATTATAATTATAATTAAAAAAAAATTTATTTTAATATGAAAAATTTTATAAAGTAAAAATAAATACAGTATAATAAAATATTATAATATTATATTACTTTATTTTTAATATATTACATAATTTTTAATTATAAAAATTATAAAAACTTTTATAAAGCTTTATTGAAATAATATTTGGAATTATAATTTTATTTTCAAATTTTATAATTAGTATTATCAGTTATTGTTAAATTTAATAAACTTTTATAATTAATAACTTTAGATATAATAATTATAAAAAAAATTGAAAAATTGGTTCTTATTCTTCTTATTCTGTAAATTTAAAATTTTAAAATTTGCAATATTTTATTTATATATAAATTTGTAATTTTGTAATTTTTTTTAAAAAATATATTACTCTAATTTATTACAGTTAATTTTCTATAAATGCACCTCTTAGGATTGGAAAAAATTTATAATTACAAAGGATATGTATTAATAAAGAATATTAATTAAAAGGTCATATATACTTAAAAAATATATATTTAGGAAGAAAATATATTTATAAGTGATGCATTTATGAAAAGTTAACTATAATAAATTTTTAAAATCAAGATTTTTTAAGGATTTTTATTAACAAAAAAAGTTTCATTAAGAATTATAAAAATTTTATTAATAAATTTAAATTTATAAAATTCTTAAAAATAAAAAAAGTATTTACTAAAGTATTTTTTTAAATAATCTTGTATTTTTCTTAAAAAAAATTTCCTAATTTTTTAGGAATTTTACAAAATTTGGAATTTTTTTTTTTAGAAAATAAAAATACATGATTATATTTTTTAAAAATTTTTATAAATTTTATTATAAAGAATTATTAAAAAAAATTTAACATATAATTTGATTATCTTTAAAGTATTATGAGTATTATTTATTATTTGTATTTATATACATTAGAGTATTTGGTATATGGTGCAGCAGTTACATGATGTTAATCAGACTATTTCTTTTAAATAATATAGTATATTGGTAATAGTTTTATTTTTCCAATTCACATAATATACTTTCAACATACAAGTGGTCTAAAAGTATTATTCTTGAGTTTTGTCATTGATCTTGTATTTTCATTAACATTGGTAATGTAATTATTGTATTCGTTGGAAGATTGTTGAATTAAAATACACTCACATAAGTTTTATACAAAAAAAAACTATGTAAAATTTTGAGGATTAAATCTCAGTTAATATAGTGTTTAGTATCCTTTCCTGTCAGGATAGATAACTTAACTCTGATACATTAATGATTTATCTTTGCACTGTTAATAACAGCATTAAAGCAATATCATCATAAATATTACATTAGCTGACATGCTCTTCACATATCACTTAGGCTCTCAAATACATCCACATTAAATCATGTTCGCAGTACCACCAACTGAAAATTCCCAATTCGATATAAAAACTCCCATTATTTCATTCTTTTCCAATTAGAAATGTTTTGTAGATAGTTGAAATTTCACTCGATTACATCCATAGTAAATTTCGGATACGTATTCATACGCAATAGTCTTGAAAATTCATTCAAAGATACGAAGCTTGGGTTATTCAAGTTAGTAGGATCAAATAGTCTTCCTAGAATATTTTTTCGCACAATAATTCAAGTGAATCAGCTACAATATTCAAATGATATTCGTAACAAACATTACTTCAAAATATGGTTTCAAAGGACAAAAACATGTATCTAATCATGATGAAGGTTCATCATATTCCAAAAATATATTTCAACCATCAACCCTAGCTTGACTGCGGTCTGTAATATTATGAGCTTGAAGTCAGCATCACCAGCGATAAGCGCCAATACAGCAGGTATACTATAATCCCATCCATAGAATGCCTATTCACGTAATCTAAACAGAGTTGATCAAAACGTATTTGTGATCAAAAGCACCAACAATGTATAAATCCTTCTTGGATCCGGCTAAAGACCTTACTATAAAAAAAATGGTTCCATTATAATACAGAATAAATGAACGATTATGCCAAAATACGTTCACTCACATCGACTAATTTATTATGATTCACCGGTAGTGACAAGTTGATCTACAATATCATGAATGTGTTTTTAAATAGTGTTTGGCGATAAGAAACACAAAAAATGAGAGGCAAACCATTTACCAGTGATAGCGGATGGTAATTATAAAAAGATTTTTTTTCTTAAGTTTTTTTGTCAGTTCGATTGAAACAATCAAGTAGAATTTATCATCGTGCAAATTTATCGATATCATCTTCGGTAGAAATGTATAAAGGCTGGATATAACTTTCCAAATTTTCATTCTAACTATTTTAACCGCTTTAATAATTTAATTTCATCTCTACGAAAAAGAAGTTCCTTTAATTTGCAACAGTAATATCCTCAAAGTTGATCAAATATTTTTATTGTTGGTGAAAAATCATTCTATAATAATTAATAAAATAGACTCTAGATCTCTAGATAGACTCTTAATCAGTAAAAGTAATTTATCATTACGCAAAAAAAAATTTACCCGATTTCCAGGTATTTATAATAAATATTATATTACGTAATTTTCGGTTATATACGATTGGCCAATGTGACTTTGCGTGAGATCGATCTACTTAAAAATAATTCTTCCTGTTATGAACGTCAACTCGTTTGAAAGAAACCAGTTTGAAAAAAGTATTTACGAATTGATGCTCTGGACGAGACTTACAGATGAGATATATTTTTTTTCGATGTGCCATAGAAACATGTATCACATCTACAAGCAGATCAAGTAATCTATTTGTATTTTGTATCAATAAAGCGAATCTGGTCAGTCCGGTATTCGATTCACCTATACTCATTCATATTTTTTCATGTGAGTGGGCATGCATTGGAAAAATATTATTCTTTTTGCAAAGCTTCTTTAACTAAGTTAAGGGAATCACATAATATTTTATACTCTGGCGGTCTGGCCTTGAATGTAATAAGCTGCACCTTTGCATATTCTACTGTCTCTACATGTAAAAATAGTCTTTTTAACTCGTGTATGTCCCAGTCATGCTGAATCAAGAATGTATGAAAAGGGATCCTTAGTGAAATACCCTATTAAAATATAAATTAAGGGTGGAGATATAATGCTTCCAGCAGGCCTTAATCATAATACACTGTATTTTACTTTTTCTTATTATATGCGATAGTTCTTTCACGAGAAACTATGGATATCATTGATTTTTTACAGCACAAACTTATTTATATTACAGTTATAAATAAAGTTATATTAATTCGCTAATAATTTATTAATTTTAAAAGTAAAAGTTTTATTTTCTTCAAAATTGCAAATTCTTTATATCCTTTTACTTGCATATTTATATTATATATAAGAGTACATATTAAATAAAATAGAATTGAGCGAATATTTTTATGTCTCAATTCACTTTTATTCGTTTATTGGTTTTATAATAAATAATTGCGTTTGACACCTATACTCCTATAGGATTTCATGGAAAATATTTTTAAAATTATTATTTTGTATCAAAAATGTGAAATTATCCTGCATTTTAGAAAAAAATAAATACGTCGTAGCAACATTTTAATAGTGTATCAATCGTGTTAGAACCCATTAAACTATAAAAATATATAACAATGAATTATTGAATCATGAACTTTGATAAATTTATTTAATTTACAGTTTAATCAGTGGAAAGATATAATAGATGTTAGATGAATGTAAATAATTTTGTAACCTTAAAGAAATCATTATTAATTTTTATATAAATCATTTTTTCAAGAGATTTGAAATTTTACAACGTCTAATAAAGAATAATAAATATTATTTTTATATTATAATGATTAACTCTTTTTTTTTAAAATCTTAATCATTGCTCTAGTTGCATTCCCTCCGGATCATTTGGTATGAATTGTGCATCAACTTGAGTCGAAAACTATCTTAAATTTTATTACATTCTTTATATATACTGTATATAAGTATATATACTCCTTATTTTACAGAAATATTTCATTCAAATTTAATAATTCTCTTTGCCCAATATTATACGTACTCTATTGAGGTCATTTATATCTAATGTATTCGAACGAATAAAAGTGATTTTCCTTTAAAAACAAGACAAACAGCTCGTTTACTTAACGGTAGTATTAATTATGGGATTTCGTGACAAAATATTTGTAATTGTCACTCAATACGGGAAAATTGGCAGTTGGTACGCCAAGTTCTCTCAAAGATAATGCTATGATAAAAAAAAATTATAATAACTATTTCTAACCTTTTTTTTTTGATAGATTTACGTGACAGTTGGCTCACAGTTGCCTTCTCCACTTTCAGTAACGACTTCCACTTCCACTAATGTAAAATTTCTTCTCGGATCCATTACTCCGCTATATCAATTATGCGCATCACACATAGCTACTGTTATAACGACAGAGAATTCTGGTGATGGAAGAGCTGTAGTGGTTAGGTTAGCATTAATGAAAAATAGTGATAATAATGATGGAGATCAAGATGAAGAAATTGGAGACAAAGAATTATTTAATGAAATTGAATCAATGGTTAAAGAAAGTATAGTTTGGTGATAATTCTTCTATCTTGGAAATGCATGCATGACGAGACTAGTTTACAATATTTATTTAAATAAAAGAAAAAGATCTTCAGTTTCTTCTAACGGGTTTTTTTTGAACTCCAAAATTTGATATCTCCATCTAACTTTTCTAATTCTCCATCAATTGGAAACCTTAGCCAGCATAAATTGTTTATCGATTGTTATCATATTTGGTGACAAATAAATCGTTGGAAAAGAAACACTTTGGATAATAGTCAAAGTAGTGTGAAACTAATAGAGAGAAGAGTGTGAAGTGGAAAATAAATACAAGGAAGAAAGAATATAGAGCTTATGTAAGGAGCTTATCTATTTAGCAAAGACGTCGACATCCTTTAAAAGAAAAAGGTTTAACACTTAGATAGACATGATTATATCAACATGCGTTTCAAGATTCGCCCTACGTCTCATCGTAAAAGTCACAATCTGTTTCCTACAAGAATAATCTTTTCCAATTTATTTCTTTCCCAAATTGATTCAATCACGTTGTTATAGGTAATCCAAGTGCATGTAAAAGGAGCTTGATTCGTGATTGGCCTTTTTGCTTTCTTGTATAATCAAATTTGAAGAATGATTCATTTTATCAAATTAGAAATAACATAAGCTTCATTAGCATTTATCGTATTTACAGTATTTCATAATGTAAAATATTTTCTGCGGATCATATTATCATAACATCGTATTCATAAGCTTTTTTTAAAAAAAACCCTTAATTTTCTAGAGAAAAGTCACGCGAATTATGGTTTATTTAATATTTATTCCAAATAAATCCTCAGGATTAAACCGAGCTATGAAGGGTAGGCTTCTTATGGAACGAGCGGTTGTCAATTAATTATAATTAGAGTTCGTTACAACGTATTTATACCTCTTGTCGTTTTTCTACATGTAATTAGTCACATTGACCATCTTTCTTGAAATAAATTAAAACGAGCACAAATTGGTATTTGTGATATTATTGATTTTTCAATGCTTCCAATTGGCGATGCGGAGGGAAAAGTTTATTATTGATAGTTTGTACAATGTAATTAATTCAATGTAATATATAATTTTAAATTGAATTCTTAAACCACTTTGTTAAAGAGTTTGCCTAGAAGAAAATAATGCGCCACACTTATTTAATTTAATAGGTTTAATAGGTCGGGCCGCATTTATAAGCCACTAACTAATAAATGCAACACCTTTTTTCCTTTATATACAGTCTTAATTTTAAAAATAAAAAACCTGTATTTGGAAATAATAGAACGTTTATGGTAGAATTATCAAAAGTAAGATATCAATAACAGATAAGAAGATTTTACGTTTAACCGTTGTAATTATGGCTATGGCAAAAATATCTTCAGTACTAAGGGCTTATCAATTATCATATCCAATAATAATCAATCCTAAGATATTGGCTTCTCTCATTTAACAAGCCTCCAGCCAAGCTTTGAGAGTGAAAAAATAGCATCGCCATAAAAGCCATTTAAGCCGCGCACAACTAATTGTTGATCTTTGATTCGATGAATGGAAATATACCAGATACCGTATAAAAGACGGGATAAATTTCATTCCCCATTATCTAAAATCCTTTTACACTGTCATCTTTAGTAGTATTGGAAAGTACTGTACTAACAACATTTGATAAATTAAAGAGGGAAATGATAATTAGACGAAAAGTGCATTTAGTTTTATTACTTTCTGTAATATACATATATCATGTGATCGCTATTCCAAACTTAGATACACGTGCTACATCGGAACCCACGCCAAAGATTATCGGAATTAAAAATGATCATTATATTGATGAATTCGGTAGACAGAGATTCTTTCGTGGACTGAACGTTGTATGTAAAGACCCTTCACCATTATGATATCCAAAGAAAAAAAGTTATATAAAACAATATACTAGTATATTCTTCATCAAAGAAAATGTTTAGAATATTTTTTTTCGATACTTATTTGGTTTTGTTGAAAGGTTTATAAAGGATTCCCATACTATCCTAGAATTGATGCATTTGATCCTGTAACTTCGTTCACCGAAGAAGATATGAAGGTTTGACCTTTTTTTAATACCGTACATGCTTATGCTTATGTCCAAAACAGTTTGATCACTTCCTAAACAAAAACATACTCTGCGACTAGATTTTGGCCAGTGTTAATATGAATGTTATTAGACTTGGAGTTCTATGGGCTGGCGTTGAACCAGTACGAGGAAAATATAATGAAACTTATTTAAAAATCATAAAAAGTATTGTAGACAAGTGTAATTTGTATGGAATTTACGTGCTATTAGATTCTCATCAGGTAAACAAACCCTTTTGTCTTTTTAATTTTTTTAAAAAAAAATTTAATAAATTTTTTTTTATTGGTTATTAATTTAGGATGTAATGAGCGATAAGTTTTGTGGAGAAGGTGTAAGTAATTAATATGCATACGAAGAAACGATCTTTTCATTTGGTTAAACCCTTAAATTTGTAGTTTCCAAGATGGGCAGTTCGAACAGAAGGTACATGGCCGTTTCCGATACCTATAGGACTAACAGCAGCAATATATGATCCTATAACAGGACTTCCAGATAAAGTAACTTGTGGAAGAGTGAATTGGGCATTATTGTATCTCTCACGTGCAGTAAATGTGGCATGGCAGAGATTATATGATAATTATGATGGTTTAAGAGACGCATTTGCAGCTCAATGGGCAAAAATTGCATCAATATTTAAGAATAGTAACAATCTTCTTGGTTATGATTTACTTAATGAGCCTTGGCCCGGAGATACCTATAGTAATCTTGGTCTTTGGTTACCAAGTGGTAAGACTTGTTCCAAAGAATTCAATAATATCTTCCTTATTTAAAATGCTAACCAACATTAATTTATTTCAAAGTAAATACACGTACAAATTTAGGTCCATTTTGGGATGCAATTAGTGCCGAATTGCGCAAAGTTGATAATAATGGAATTGTATTCTTTACAGGAGTAACGTGGGATTTGTTCGGTAATAACTTTGATCATGTACCAGGAGGTCCTATTTATCAAAATAGAAGTTCATTTGGTTATCATTATTATAAAGAAGTTAGAATAAAGCCACCTAATATGGATTTTCAAGTTCATTTAGAAGATATTGGACGAACTGGTGGTGCATCAATGGTAAATTAAACTCAATAGTTTCTTTGCGTAATTTAGTAATGATTTTTTTAAATTTGGTTTCCACCTTATATTAGCTAACAGAATTTGAAGCAGCTTATGATAGTGGGAAAAATCTTCCAGGGTTGCTTACAATTATACAAGCAGCTGATAAATACTTACAATCGTGGATAGGATGGCAATACAAGGATTTTTTTCCATTAACAAGACAATTACCTGGTGATGGTTTAATTGATCCCAATACTGGACAAGTAAGGCCAGATGTTGCAAAAATATTTTCTAGAACTTATGCCGAAGCAGTTTCAGGAAATACTCTTAGTATGGAATTTGATGAAGAATTTAAATTAGTTTATGAAATCAATCCATCTATAAAAAAACCTACTGTTATAAAAATTCAAGAAATATATCATTACCCAAATGGGTTTATTATAAATATTTCCCCGAATGGTAAAGTTGAATGGAAAAAAAATGGAAATTCTATTTTAGTAAGTCCTATTAAAGGTGCAAATATTCAGAATGGCGAAGTTATTACTATTAGTATTAGTGCAAAATAACATTTATTTTAAATAATAATAATAAATTAGACATTCATTTCTAATGACTTTTTTTTTGCGCAAAATACACTTTTGTACATGGAATAAAACATTTAATAAATTCATCAAAATTCATGTTTTGGGATTTGACAACATACCACTATAGACGATCATGTTACAATTTTTTTTACACAAACAATTTATTCACTTGATCATACAGAGGTGAATTAACTGGTTTATACCACAGAGACTGACGTCCCGAATACAATTTTGAACTATTGATAGACTTTTTTAGGCTTATCAATAAGGAAAACCATTATTTTATATTTATTTCTCTTAACCAAATATTATCGGATTTTCACCAGCAATTACGCACTGCATTTCGTCATGACGTTAATCCCCCATGCAAATCGCCTCCCTTGTACCTTTGATACTGCGGAAGATAAGCAAACTAACTATTTTGTGAAATATTTTTAGGGATTAATGTATAGAAAAAATAGGAAAGCTTTGGTCCCAGAGGGACCTTTTTGATCGAAGGAGCCGGGATGACTTCATGATTAGCATACACATCCAAATCCCATATGCGAATTATTGATTGTCAAAAAAAACTATCTTTATTCGAATATTGTTTTGTTAGTATGATACTAGCGTGAACAGAAAAAAATAATGCAAAATATTCTTACGTCGCACAGCCCCTATTCTTCGGCAAGAATTTTCCCGATATCGTACTGCGCATTTCAGGTGATCACTCTTTTTTATGGTATTTATTACATTTTCAGTTACAACTTCACATAATACGCATTCGTATACATTCAGTTAAAAAAGATAAAGCGTGAAATCTAAGTGAACTTTATTATTTTTACATTGTATAGGAATCATACAAGATTATAGTGAACCTATATTGCTGAAATAAACTTCTAAGTTATCATTTTTTTGACTGATATAATATAAATGCATGACAAATAATTAATATTTCTTGTAGAAATTTCGGTTTGATTTTTTTTTTGTACCTAAATAATAATCCAAATTTGACATTTAAAAGTAAGTAATCAATTAATGAAAAACTGAATATAATTATTAAAATGGCTCACATTCTTCTCCCAAATTGATATTCCTTTGCGTTCCCTCACAATCCATTCCTTTGTGATATTCAATTCTCTTTCATTTAAGATATAAAATGATATTCTTGCCTTCCCAGTGAATCCAACTGAATAAATTTAAATTGGCAAACCACTCACTATCTCTTTATCTTCAACTATAGTATCACATGTGATCTCAAGGGTATTCATTCAGGACCCCGGATATCTCCAAAACAGGTCATAAGTCACACTTTCGGCAGATTGGCCCATTTTTCAGGGGCCCAAAAAATCGTTTTTTGTAAATATCTCGGCATCCAGTGGTCCAATTTTGATGAACTTTTTTTTAAATTGTAGAGCTAAATGAGGGCTACAAAATAAAAAAAAGTTCATTAAAATTGAATTACTGGATGCTGAGATATTTACAAAAAACGATTTTTTGAGTTTCAGCAAAAAGGGGGGTTTTTGGCCAAAAGTCCATTATGACCTTTATATTAGATATCCGGGGTCCTATTCATTCTATAATAAACAGAATTGGGTCCAGTTGTATGTAGTGTATTTTATTATTGCTCTTGATGTGACCTGATCCCCCATAGGGAATAGAAGTACAGAGCTTAAATTGATCTGATACTTTCACAGGGACAAATGTTTTGTACAAAGATCAGTAGGTTCGTGTTTATTAAGTGAATTTAATATACCCAATTTCCAAAACTCGACCTTCCAATTGTAGTCGATAGCTTCCAATAATGTTCCATAATAATCACTGTCTCTGGCAATTAAAACCAATATACCAGGACTTTCTGTGTAAATCATTTTGGCAATTTTAAGTGTGATGAAATTGTCGACACCCTTTTCTCTGCTTGCACAATTTCGTCCAAACACATTGACGTCATATCCTTCTTTAAAGATTGAGTCATTTATCAGGATTTCAGAACCTACAATGACGGGGGTAACTCACAATCACCCACAACTTATTTAAGAAGTAAACCATAATCAAAAATGATTTGATTGTAATAAAGAAGGTCGTTTAAGGGTCTTTTATAGCATATGGAATACTCTCCTTGTGCTATAAAATTGGAATTATCCACGAATATACAAACGTAGTTTGGGGATTTCGTGCCAGCTACACAGAAAAAAAAAGAGCCTTTAGCACAAGTTATAATTGCAAAAAACAGGTTGCGTTAACCAAATCTATTATGACTCACTTACCAACAACAGGTTGCTTTACGATAACGCAAATGTATTTTTTGGGCAGGTTTGATGATAAGAAGTAGGAAAGAAAAGCACAAGAAATAATTGAGTATTCAGGAAAAGGTGAAAAAATAAAACAATAGATATTAAAAGTTAAGTTTGACCATCAACTTCTTGGTCTGTGATAATATCTATGTAATTTTTAATATCTGGCAATTTCTGTTTTAAAAAAATATTAAGTTCAAAATCATTCAATTTTTTTATATCTTCGATCTTAAGAAGTGACATGATTAGTAAATATTGATTACTGATTTTTAGTTCGGATAAAAAGATATGTGTGGTTGTACAGTTTGAAAAGAGAAAAAATGGTATATATAAAGAAATCTGTTGTAGCACAGATTGGTTAATATCAATCAATTACGTAATTGGCTTATAATGGAGCACGTCTGAAATCTGTGCCAGATTGAGGGCGCATGTGCCGCGCCACATCCCTTATCACGTGATATATACAATCAGAAAATTCGCGATCATTGTGTCATACTGATAAACATATCTCCCATATCGCGCTAGATTTTTTTGCTTTTTTCTCACACTCTCTTTCAAATAAAACAAAGAACAAAGTTTTATTTTGATTTCAGAAAGTGTGGTAGGACTACTTTTTAATATTTGTAAAGTATTTTTTATTTGGTAAATAGTCTAATGGCCTAATTTATAACAAAGAAACAAAGTTACACAGCTCAAGTTGTGATCCGTTAAACCACAGTAAACAGTATGGACATCGAATCACAAAATAACCCACAAGTAAGTCAATTTTGCATACTTTTCTTCATATTGTCGAAGCTCTTTTTGTTTTAAAAATACCATTTTCTATAATATATTTAAGTTAAAAATGATTGAAAAAAATGAGTTTTTGGGTAAAATAGGTATATTGCTTACATTTTTAATTATATTAGAGTTTGTTTAATATAGAGTTTGAGTTTATTTTATGAGGATAAATATATTAATATTGTGTTTATTTAGTTTATTAAATATTTTTTTTTTTTTTTTTTTNTTTTTTTTTTTTTTTTCCGCAGCGCATTTGCAGTTTTATTAAAGTAAAAAAATAAAAATATATACGAAGTAAAATTTCCTAATAACTACTCTAATATAATTAAACTACAAACCGGTAGTACCCCACGTGTGCACTGTCAAATGATCGTTTGACTCTGTAGGTAGACTTCGTTTAGTAACAGGTCATCTTAGCCATAAAGGCCCTATCTTTAATGTCTGGTGATCACGGGACCCAAGTTTATTAAATATAGCGTTAATTTTAATCTTAATTTATCATATATAATATTTATTAGTTCGTTATTTACATAGTAGTATTTATTTATTATTAATTTATTGTGTAACATTTAATCTTTTATTTCGTTATTATCACTTCATGTTAAATAGTATTATTTTAGTATATTTTTATTGATTATTTGTAAAATAAGAATTTTTTATTATCTTAATTAAATAGATTGAATTCTTTTTTTATTTATCCTTATCATTTGTCATTTATCTTTATCCTAGATTAATTTATAAAATTTCGTATTTATTTTAGTTCTTTCCATGGGATTCCCTCCCCGAAATATTAAAACCAATTCTCCCTCCGCATCAATCATATTTAATCAAAAACTTTAATGTTTTGCCGCCGCATAAAACTTTTGAGAATTTCAAAATTCCACAATTTGAACTAGACGCGTTCGTAGATATTAAAGATAAAAAGAAAGTACGCGAATGGTTTCTGTCATTTGAATCCAAGTCAAAAACGACAATGCCAGAATCTAAGCATTACAAAATCAAAGGAAAGAAGGTTCTTTTTCACGAGAAAAGACACTGTATTCACAGTAACTTAGTAAAAGAAAAGCAAGGAAATCCTGAGTTAAAACGCCTACAATCATCTCGATTATGAAATACAAATTGCACCGCTATGATTCACCTTAGACTAGAAAATTGTAACATTGAATTGAGCCATCCCCTGGAAGTTAATTTACGGTTTACTCATAATCATGTTGTAAATTCTGCAGAATCATTAAGCTTTTGACATGTCAATGGAGGAGTTCACGAAAAATTTTTGGAACTTTTTAAAGATGGCCACTCCCTCGCATCGGTAATGTACGCCTACGAAGATGCACTTTATTTTAGCGCTGCGGATGAGCAGGAACTTTTAGTATTACTTGCAGACCGAGCGACTAATCCCGATTACGATTACATTGCTAAACTTTTTCAAAAATATCGTGAAACAGCGCTTGGTGATCGTAATGGTACTTCAATATTTAAACGTCTAGTAGAGGTCATAAACAATTACAATAAGTTAAGTCATGGAAGAGTAATATTGCAAAAATATGATTCACACACGGAAAATACTTTATTCTTTGCGTTGTAACTAATTTAATGAGCCGAGTACACGAAAAGGTTTTACAATCTGGTGAATTATGCTATATAGACGCTTCGGCATCTTTTGAATCTTTAAATACATCACTTACTCTTCTTTATACGAGTTGCACGGTTGGAGCCCTGCCTCTCGGCTTATTTATCACTTCGGATGAGTCTGAAATAACGTTAGAAAAGACATTAAATCTACTTAAAATGATTCTCCCGTAACATGCCTTTTTCGAACGTGAACCACAAGTCGGTCCAAAGGTTTTACTTACTGACGATTCGAGTGCTGAGTGCAATGCTCTTGAACTATGTTGGCCAGAGGGTAAGGTTTTTATTTCAAATCTAATTTTTTTCTTAAATTCGAGATAACTTACTGATTTTATTAAATTATACAAGAGATCCGTCTCCTGTGCACATTCCACGTCCTCCAGGCATTTTGGAGATGGCTCCATAATTCGAAGCATCATATTGATAAAGAATATCGGGCCTATTATGGAAAAGATGAAAAAAATTCTTTATGCACTATCGGGCTTTGAAATGCATACGCATTATTATGAACTCAGGCAAACGTTTTATGAACATTATCCTCAACTACACAAGCATTTTGAGATTTTATGGAAACGCCGTTGTTTTTGGGCCCTTTCTTTCCGCTCTGAACTACATATGCGCGGAAATAACACAAATAATTACATTGAGAGGAGTTTTGAATACTAAAAGATTTAGTGTTCGCAAGAACGCAAGCTTACAACTGCGTTCAAGTTTTTCAGTTTATCACAATTAATATGGAGAGATTTTACGTGCTTCGATTGCTCAGCTTTGCGCATAGATGTCCAGGATATCTTTGACTTGCAAAACATTTTTTATGTCACGGATGGGACACCATAAATATGGATTTAATTCAAAAGACACTGGTCGAAATTAAAAAAATCGGACATATGGAAAATCGGCCAAAAATCAGACCAAAATTGACTAACATTATAAATCGGTACATCTGATTGATGCCAATCAGACAATTTGATAAAAATTCAGCAAAAAATCATTATATTTGATTGACGGCTGATTGATGCTAGTTGAAATCAAAAAAAAAATGGACAAATGGCAAATCAACTTAAAATTTGCCCAATATTCAAATATGCACTTCCGATTTATGGAAAATTGACAATTCAATAAATATTCAATAAAAATTCAATAAAAATTCAGCAAAAAATCATTATATTTGATTGACGGCTGATTGATGCTGGTTGAAATTAAAAAAAAAAATCTGACAAAATGGCAAATCAACCTAAAATTTACCCAATATTCAAATATGTACTTCAGATTTATGGAAAATTGACAATTCAATAAAAATTCAATAAAAATCCAACAAAAATTTGTTAAAAAATCATTATATTTGATTGACGGCTGATTGATATCAAAAAAAAAATCTGACAAATTTGTAAATCAACCTAAAATTTACAATATTCAAATATGTACTTCAGATTTATGGAAAATTAACAATTCAATAAAAATTCAATAAAAATTTAGCAAAAAATTATCATATTTGATTAACAGCTTAAAATTTGCCTAATATTGTCTGATTTATGGCACTTTTATATCAAATTGCACTGGTCGAAATCAAAACTTTTGGGCATGGAAAAATTGTCTCAATTTCAGAAGTTATTCGAATAAACGATTTTTCAAAATCAACTTATGATGTACTAAGCCGCAGCCACAGTAAAATTAATCTGGCAATTAGTTGATCTATTACCGAATTTAGACTTTATTTAAACTAAAGTTTCGAAACTTTATCTTCATCTAACTTCATTCCTAAACAAAACGGTTTTAAACGTTTTGGGATTTTTTTTTAATTTTTTATCGGAAATAATGTTCCAATTTTTAACATTTTTATTTTTTACGAAACGTTTTTTAACTTTTCATTTAATATTTTCAATCGGAACATTAGTTAACGTTCTGATTTTATTAATTTTTTTTTGCAAAACTATTACTTTAAAAAACGTTTTCTAACATTTTTTTTTATACTTTTATATAGGAAATCGGCTCCTACTTGGATACTGATTTCCAAAGGTAAGTTTCGAAACAAAAGTTTCGAAACTTTAAAAAACGTTTTTTAATATTACTAAAAACGTTTTTTTTTACTTTTGTATAGGAAATCGGCTCCAACGTGGACGCCGATATTCCAGATAAGTTTCGCATTTTCAAAACTTCTTTGAAAAAAACGTTTAACGTTTTTTTTTTTAATATTATTGTAGGAATACCGTAAAGTTTTAAATTTTCGAAACTTTTTGACAAAAATTAATAAAAAACGTTTAATTTAACGTTTTTTATTATATTTTATTATTTTTTTTTGCAGGGAAATCGGCTCCAATATGGATACCAGAATCCCGCAGGTAAAGTTTCGATTTTT